AATATTATAAATATTTTTAATGCTATTATAAATAAATAATTAATAATTTATTATATAAATATTTATAATTGACGACATTAATAAATATGTGCACCACGAGTGATAACAAACTACTAATAAACATTATTCAAAATTGTTGAATTATGTATTTATTTTTAACTCAAATGCCATCTCGTACAATAGCAAAAAAGTTTTACTTCAATCGCGCGTGAACCTTACGCGCACTTTTTTTTTCGTTAAGAGGCCGCTTGCCCATATGTATAAAACACGAGATTTCTCATATATATATATATATATATATATATATATATATATACATATATATATACTGTAATATATTTAAAACCTTAAAAATTTCCCAAAAATTTTCGATAATTTTTTAAAATTAAAAATGAAACTATTTAACTATTGCAAAAGTTTATACGCCGATGCTGGATAGCTGGATATTATAATTAGATTGTAGTTTGAACATTTTGATTGATAATCTAGTAACATATTATTGCAAAACAAAATTATTATTTATTCGCTAAATTATACAATCAGCATATAATTAATTATACGTCAAAACATAATGTCATATCAACATTAAAATTTCACTTTAAATTAATTTTTTGTCCGGATATGTTGGTTTAAACCGCAACGCCAGAACAAGTAACAGACACATATCAAGCGCAACAGCCAACGCCGAGGCATAAAATTCATAATCTTGATCTAATTTAGTAAAAGCCGTCACGGCTGCTATTATTCCATCACCCAAACCGTCTGCAAACACAGAAGTAGCAGAAACAACTTGTTTCAGAGGCAATGGAGCTTCTGTGTAAATGAAATCCATCAAAGCAACTTGCCAGTAAATCTCTCCTATGGTCAACATCAGAGTTTGCGGAATAATCCAAAATATATGAACAGAATTTGGCTGGACACTTTCAAATATTTTTGCGTCGTTCTCCGAAACCATGGCGACATAGACGCCTCCAAGATACATTGGAAAATCCGTAAGAACAATTTTATTTCCTACAAATAAATCGTAAATTTCAGGAACAACCTCAGAACGTTTCGGCTCACTTAGAGATTTAGCTTCTACGGGTATTTTCACGTTTTTGGAATCTCTTAAAAATACAGAGTCAGACAGATTGCCTCCGACAACAGAAAGCATTGGAAATCCGCTTTCCGTCTTTTTTATTATTTCTTCGTAAGTACGAATTGAAGCTTTACCATCAATATCCTGAATGAATACGGATAACGCTTGCCCACCAATAATTTCCATAGTTTCATCTTCAAGGTTTGTGCAAGATCCCTTACCGGAGAACGTTATTGATTTAGCATTTGTAACAGGTACATGTTTTATTGTTGAAATACTATATGGATAAATTTCCAACACGGTTTCCAGTATATCCGGAGATTTGATGAAAATACTGCAATTGCAATTATTGAGAAAACGTACTTCACATTCATCATTATTTATAATTTTAGGATAAGTTAATTTCATTCTTGATTCAAGAAATCCAGCAGCAACAAATGATGCAGAAACTATGAGACCTCCTACAATTATTCTTCGCATTACACGATCCATACTTAAAGATTTGGTAAGAGGATCCATAACTTTTGTCACCAAAGGCATGAATATTACAACCAATAGCGGATTCAATAACTGGTAATGATCTGGTATTATGGTGTACTGTCCAAGGCGTCCATCCATTCTGGTTGCTTGAAATAACCACTTTGTATTTTTCTGATTGAATACGCTCCAAAATACAGGAAAAGTTGATATTATAATCAGCATTTCAAAATACTTCTTTATATCTGCAACTAATTGGGCACCGTAAGCAGGTTCTGCATGGTCCATCCAATTTGGCTTAGGATTTATTTTTCGTTCTCGTATCCATTGCTTCAAGGCATTTCCTATGCACATAACGAATTTTAATATAATCCGATCAGTTGGTTTCTTTTTCACAAAATATTTCGTCGTTGATATCAGCACAATGATTTCTAGTATTGACAATAAAGCGCTTATTGCAAAACTTACAAAATAGCAATCTTGTTCACCCAAACAAGCGATTTCAGTTTTAATCAGAGGACCAATGCAATAAGCCGTCATAATACTGATATTGTGCATTATGAAAATCCAACTGTAGAAATTTACCAATAAGTCATGTTGCTCGGGAAGGTTGAACTGGTCGCCACCAAAAGCATTTACAGCTCCAGCTAAAATCACAAAGGACGACCCTTCGAATATCCAGAAAATGTACATAAATATCCTGTACCTCAACTTTGGTAAAGATCCAATGGATAAAATAATCCTGGCTACCAAAGCAATGAAGGTGCCAATTACAATAATTTTATATCTATTCATGTAACTGCTAACGACAAGTGCACCAAGTGGCATAAAGAATGCATTTGCCATCCCAGTTGCATGTGAAATGGACGTTGCTTGACTGGTCGAAAAGTCAAGTTTATTTCGAAGAAATAAATTTGTAAGCGATTTGTACACATACTTTCCTAAAGCTTCCACTAATATAAATGCAAACAAAATGTGAGCTGCTGCAGGAAATTTGTTATTAATAGAATCCATTAAAAACTACAATTGTTTAATTTTGTGAAGTTATATTAAAATGACAGATGGAAATCATTTTGTTTTAAGTTTTATTTGACATTTCAGTTTTCAAGGTTTCATTGCATGATAATATATATATATATATATATATATATATATATATATATATATATATATATGTTGAAAGTTTCGTCGACGTTGATACATATTTGTAAATTTTTTAGCAGCCCAACAGTCGAATTAAAAAAGATTAAATAACAAAATTATTTATTCAATTATACGTTTCGACACTTGATGTGTGTCATCATTCAGTAATCTAAAAACATTTAACATAATGAACAAGTGATGATAAATATAAATATATAAAAGGAGGAAATTATACATACCAAACCAGGAAAAACAAAAAAATTAATTATGATGTGAAAATTGATATAAACACTAACTTTGTGTAAAATATAAAAAAACTATTATTAACAAACGAGTTTATAGGAGGAGCAAATATTGCCCTCCTATATTTAAGTTATTTTCCGATGTTAACTTAAATATAGGAGGGCAATATTTGCTCCTCCTATAAACTCGTTTGTTAATAATAGTTTTTTTATATTTTACACAAAGTTAGTGTTTATATCAATTTTCACATCATAATTAATTTTTTTGTTTTTCCTGGTTTGGTATGTATAATTTCCTCCTTTTATATATTTATATTTATCATCACTTGTTCATTATGTTAAATGTTTTTAGATTACTGAATGATGACACACATCAAGTGTCGAAACGTATAATTGAATAAATAATTTTGTTATTTAATCTTTTTTAATTCGACTGTTGGGCTGCTAAAAAATTTACAAATATATATATATATATATATATATATATATATATATATATAAGGACAAAAAATATTTTAGAAAATCGAGTATTTCAATTAAAGTTTTATTTTGGAAGCAATAAACAGTGAGCATTATTGTTTCCCCAGATACATTCAATGAAAGTATTATTTTCATACATAAATTTTAGATACAAATTTGCGTATAAATTAAACAAGAAAACACATGGGAAAAATATCAATGTAAATGTAAATAAGCAAGATGTTGTTCCTTCGGTGCTTTTATTACTACACGCAGAATATTGCAGACATATCCATTTTGCTTACATTTTGCTATCGTGTTAAATATAACAATTTATTCATAAAATAGAATAAATGGTTTCTTTACACAATAGATAATTATAATATGTGATATTAAAAGTATGCATAATGTGTTATCTATTCGGTTTAAATTATTGAAGTCGAAATTATGAATATGATGTATTTAAATATCTGTCAGATTATTATATCAGCACAGTTACTGAATAGACCGAATTTATCATAGTACTTAAAATTTTTTACTTGACTTTATCATTTTATCAATGTAACAATTTACCTTGTTATCGTTTTATCAATGAACAACAAGGATTGAAAGTGAATTTACTTGTTAAAAATGTAAGCAGAGGAGACTGGGTACGGTTGCGCAAGGGAACGTATTACATATAACTAGTGGTGCATGGCGTCGTGCCTTAAGGCAAATTGCTGGAACTTCCCGCACCAGAATTAAAAATTAGAAAAAACAGTAATCAATAAATATTGATCAATGATTAATAAAAATCGTTTTAAACATTTTCAAACAGATAATTATAATCACTATATATTTTATCGTCCATAAAATTTACAGTGATGATGATGAAAACACTTGAGAAAGTTTACATTTGCAATAGGTGCCAAATAAATCCATCTGAGGTACGGTTAGAATAACGCATTTAAAATATTTACATTTTCAAATTGGTTTGTAAATTTAAAATTCATGTTTAAAGTATAAAACTATGTATATTTTTGAAAATTAAAAAAAATTCTTTCTGAAAATTATGAAATTTCCTTGAACCGTATAAGTAAACTTTAAAAATTAACAATCTCGATACGGAATCCAACAAAGTTGGAACAAAATAAGTACTCATTTTTTCAAATTTTATCAAATATCTGATAATTTAGTGTGCATATATTTTTGACCGTCAAATATAAACTTTTTTTTACTTTTTCCTCTGTATTTTCGAAACCGCTAAACCTGCCTTAACAAAAATTTTATAAATTCTTCATTTTTTCAATAGAAGTGAAATGTTTTTTGAACCATTCAAATCCGTTGATTTGTGCGCCCGAAATCGTGGACGAGAAATTGTATCCAAATATACACACATACATTCGAAAACCTTTGAAACGTAGAGATATATAAAAATTTTGATTATTTATTCTTGTGCGATTACCATAACTGACCCTACTGGAAGTTGAATATAACACATAACTAGTGATGTATGGCATCGTGCCTTAGGGCCAATTGTTGGAACTTCTCGTATGAATGTATTATTATAAGTGGTATTTCATGTATATGAATGAACTTCATAATTTTAGCTAGAATTTAAAATAAAAACTGAATTATTTTTTATATTCAAAAAAAAAAACAAATCGGATTCTTTTAAACTTTCCGTAGGGTAAGTTACAGTAGTAATCGTAAAAAATAGAAAATAATTTTTTTTAAATATCTTTACTTTTCAGAGGTTTTCGAACATACTGGCATACCTTAGAAAAATGAATGCTTCTGTGTGTGTATGTGCGGATACAAATTTTCGTCGACGATTTCGGAAACACCGATCAGCCGATTTGAAAAATTAAAAAAACATTATTAATATAAAAAGCGGCATGAAGAAGCAAGAGCAAGCTACTAATAAAGTAGCCTTGAGCATAGCTCTGTATGGATTAGAGACATGGACTCTAACAGAGGCCGACAAGAACTATTTGAAGAGTTTTAAAATGTGGTGCTGGAGATGAATGGAGGAGATAAAGTGGACAAATAAGATGACAAAAGCAGATGATTGATGATGTTAACGCCTTACTCAACCCTGGTCTAATTATATATTTTATTACCTGCAGAGAGGCTAGCAATAATAAACGCTCATCCTTTATTATATAATTTAGAACTATTAAATAAATAATCGCTTTCATTGTCATGAATCCTGTCCCTAAATCTATCTTCATAGCATTAATCTATTTTTATAAGAATTTTAATCACCTGTTCCCGAGTGATTTCCACGTATCATGGAATCACCGATTAATATAATACCTGATTGGTCAAAAATGTAATGGGATGTACTTGAACCCACAAAAACGAACCAATCAGAAAAATCATATAAAATTGTAAAATCTTTATAATTTAGTATTAACTCAAATTTCACATAACGAACACCAGCCTTAAATCAATACTCAACTAACATCGGTCTTAAATCAACATTCAAAGCAATAACATCTAACATATCATCTATAAATAATCTTAATCTTTCATTCAATTATACAATAATTAAACATTTATTATTATTCTTTTATTCGGTCTGATATAGCCACTGTCTAAGTATATCTGGTCCTTCGACAATATAAATAAAGTGCAAGTGTTTTAATAGAGTTCGGCAGCATCTTGGTGGATCACGGACTTCTTATACATTTTTGCAATCTATCTCTTAACAACATACTTTTTGATCCATTCGAACCGAAACAGATGACTTACGCGAGATAAGAAAATACAGGGAAGTGAAAGCCGCAGCACAGGACGAAGAAGCACGGAAGCAGAATATATAAATGTATATATATATATATATATATATATGTGTGTGTGTGTCTGTGTATGTGTATGAGTTTGTGCGTACAGACGATCTATTTCTAGGGCGTCAATCTGCGATTACATTAGCGTGCGTGCGTGCGTGCGTTTCCTCCCTCTTGACAAACGAGTTCGCGTTTTCTGCTTAGTCACATCAAATGTAATATGAAAGCATCGGCCCGTTATGATGACCCTACAACTTCCAAATGCTTTCTATTCTGGATACTACGATTGTAAACCCGACGATATGGGTTTAAGGGTACGCATTTATTAGCTTAATTGTATCACATAAAAAGATTAATAATCAGAAATTCATTTGGCTGCACGATGCTAATCTTAATGAGATAAGTTAACTACGTGTTTTTGCTGATATTGTTATTTTAGTAATTTTATATGAAACGCAGTTGAGTTAATCAAAGAGCAGTTTTGGTCTCAACATGTGATCGTAAATTTTTATTTTTATTGCATACATTTATTTATTCATTATTAAGGGGCACAACTAGTGCACACATTCGAACCCATCTATAGTTGGCATTACTCAACCTTTTGGCATTAGGAGGTTGAAACGACAATGGCCCTTAGACTTAGTCTTAGATTAGGTCTAATATAATATTATATTAATTGTAAAACTGAGAAGTTCTCATTGGAGTTCTCCTTAGGCATCACTCATAAATATTGTCACTTTAGCTCATAGGAATTTTTATGTATTTCTGATTGCTAAATAAAACTGAGTTAAAAAAAAATAAAAAAAAAATATTAAGGGGCACAACTAGTGTAACCGCCTAAAAAACGTAATTTTTGGGGATTTATATTAAAAAAACTACTTTATCAATCATTTCAAAATTTTAGGAATATATTTATACATGTTTTAAGAATACATAGTAGATTTTTTGAAGAAACAAATTAAATATTTATTAAGTTACCGTCAATCTCCAACGGCGCGACAAAAAAAGGCCATTTCCTGCTGCAGTGATTCAAAGTGAATAAAATGAAATTCAAAAAAAAAATCTCGTTAAAATAGATAATATTGTCTATAATGAACTACGATAAAGAAAAAAATAAAAAATTGACAAAATGACGGCGTTTTTAAAAAAAAGTCGAATTTTACCCAAAATTTTGGTCGTTTTTGGACTGCCAAAATTCGATTTTTGATCCGATCAAAAAATCGATAGTTCATTTTACGGAAAACTATATATAGAACATGTAATAAAAATTTGATAGCGATCGGATTATTTGTTTTTGAGTAATCGCTGCAGCAAATTCGGAAAATGCTGTTTCGAGAAAAACGTTTAAATATTAATTGATCGTTACACTATATACTATATATATACTCTTTAAATGGCT